TCTACGCGTCCTGAGCAGCGTCCCGAGCCGCCCACCAGCCTCAGCTCCGGCCAATCCCCTGCAGACAGAGGTAGGGGGAGAGGGTGAGTGCCCAGACGACCCACCTGGGTTGCACTGGTGCCAGGCCTCAGAGGCCAGCAGGAGTGTGGGTTTGCAGAGGGACATGCCTGATCGTGAATCCTGGGGCCTGGTCCTCACCTTCCTGAGGCGTGTTCCTGAGCTGCAGGTTGTGGGTGGGGGGGGTCTTGAACCAGTTTAACCTGATTTCAAAGGAATTTATTGTCTTTCCTGTTAGACATTGATGATACTGCTATAAATCAAAGAAATACGGTTCCTGCCCTTGGGGCGCCTAAAGTCCTTTAATCAAATATAGACACCGGGACAAGGTGCTATTCCTCGGTGTGATAAAAACAGGGAGGGGGAGGAACAGGTGCTGCGTCACGAACAGGCTAGAGGCGACACCTGGGAAGAATCCAGACAGTGAGGAATGGGTGAGGGAGGAGGTGGGGTGAGGAAGGCCTCTGAGCCGGAGGGAAGAGCATATGCAGAAGGACACTGACATGCCGTTTCCTCATGCACGGATCTCCAAAACACAGACTGACACGCACACACGCACGCGCACGCGCACACAGAGCCACCCCCACATGCAAAAATGCCAATAGAAATTCTTGCATTGGCATCTCGGTGTTGTGAAAACCTCGGCATTCAGACAGAGAGTGAACTTAGAGCTGGAAGAAAACCAACGGCCCAGGGAAAGCTAATGCTCGAGTCCCATCAAGGTGAGCGTGACCTACCTGGACTCTCCATGAGCAACTCATCAGCCTCTGTTTGTAGAACGAGTAACTACGTCAGTATGTTTCAGAGCTCCTGCTTTCAGCGACTGACTACAAAGGTTTGAACTATATCCTTGCAAGAGTTTATTGCTCTGATCTGGGAAGAATTAGTCCCGTTAAATAACACAGGCCTGGGCGAGCCTAGTGCATCGTGGACATAAAGGAGAGCTTTTCTCTGGCTGTTGGTTGCCTCCTGCACTGTGAGGAAGCGGCCAGCCACGAAGGGCGCGTGTGGGGCCCGACTTGAACTGCTGACTTTGTAGCGGACGGGTTTCACTCTGGGGAGTCACTGGGGGCAGCTCAGATGTAGATGATCACCCTCCAGAACCCGGGAAAGAGGAATCACAGGGGGCCCGAGAGGCTGAGGCTAGGTCAGTCTTGCCGCATGGAACAGGACGCCCAGAAGCAAACGGACAGATGAAGGGAGCAAAGCACGTGCGTGTAAGTATCGTCTCAGATTGGAGAGCGGGTACTGCTTCTCCCGGGGCAGCTCCAGATCACAAACACCACTTGGAGTGGCAGGTACTAATCTTTTAAACCTTACCAGGCACTGGTCTGCCGAAAGGCTTCTTGGGGTTGGAAGGGGTTATTAGTAGATGTTCCAGAGGTGACTACCTTGCTCCTTGCTAATTTGTGCACATGCATAAATTCAAAGTATCTGAAAAAATTGTAACGTCATCGGGTGATTAAAGTGAGCCATTCCAGTCCACCGATTTCCATGGGGAATTGAATGAGGAAGACGGCAGGAAAAATGACCGGATATGCAGCCCTTTGGTCAGGTGTCTGAAAGTGCGTTACGGAAGATGGCTCAAAGCCTTTCTGCACTCCTGCAAGAGAGCCATCAGTCCCCATTATTAAAGACGGGGGAATTGAGGCTCTAAGAGCTTATGTGTTGCCCAAATGCAGTCTGAGTGTCGGCACCAGCTCTGGCATCCAGACTCTAGTCTGCTCAGCTCAGCTCTGACGTCTTCTCACTGCCTCTGAATGAAAGGCCTTTACATAAATTCCTTAAACATTCCCATAGTTAAATATGTTCTTCGCACATGTTAGTTTTCAGTCAAGCCCACCTGCATTTGGTAAATCTTACTACCAAATTAGAAAATCGGTAGGTTTTATTCTGGGAGGCTGGCAGTTAAAATATTGTATTTTTTTTAAAGATTTTATTTATTTATTTTGACAGACAGAGATCATAAGTAGGCAGAGAAGCAGAAAAAGAGAGAGAGAGAGAGAGGAGGAAGCAGGCTCCCTGCTGAGCAGAGAGCTCTATGCGGGTCTCGATCCCAGGATCCTGGAATCATGACCTGAGCCGAAGGCAGAGGCTTTAACCCACTGAGCCACCCAGGCGCCGCTGTATTTTTTTTTTTTTAAAGATTTTATTTATTTATTTGTGAGAGAGAGCATGAGAGGAGAGAGGTCAGCGGGAGAAGCAGACTCCCTGCTGAGCAGGGAGCCTGGATGCAGGACTCGATCTCAGGACTCCAAGATCATGATCTGAGCCGAAGGCAATCACTTAACCAACTGAGCCACCCAGGCACCCCAAATCTTGTATTTTTGACCAGGTTAGAAGAGATAAAGCAAAAATCAAATGCCATATGTTTGAGGGCCCTGTCTTTTTCCCTGGCCATCTCTGAGTTCTAGCAGGGTGGTCTTGTAGACAGTGGGACTGGCAATGACCAACTGTGAGGGGAGGGGCTACCTGAGCAGATGACGCCGGCGTCCTCGTGGTGGCCACAGTTGTGCTCCGACCAGCCCGAGTGGGCACACTGGCCCAGGTAGCGCTCTACCCCGGAACACTGCAGGTTGTCCAGGAAGATGTTTCCAGAGCCCGGGCCGAAGTGGGCCTTCCCCAGGGCGGACACAGCCCGTCCACATCCCAGCTGTCGGCACACGACCTCGGCTTCGTTCAGGTCCCAGAGGTCATCACACACGGTGCCCCAGGCCTCCCGGTGGAGGACCTCTACGCGTCCTGAGCAGCGTCCCGAGCCGCCCACCAGCCTCAGCTC